TCCCAGGGTCTTTTCCCGTGTTGTAGTTGTGTGTCTTATTTTGAAAGAAATATTCATGTGTTACCATAGCGACCGGAGAGCATTAAGGGGCAGAGAGGAGGACGTTACTCTCAATGTTGTTGGCGCATTTGAGGAGGACGCTGCTAATTAAGTTACACAGTGAATTTGCGTTTATTGTTATATTTACAAAGTACCAATACAGTTTTTGTCTTGGTCGTATCATTTTATGTTGTTGTATTTATCCGCGACACCTTAAAGACATGAAAATATTTTCTGACATTAAACCGGTCCGTGATGCAAAAAAGGTTGGGGACCGCTGTGTTAGTACATGAGTTAATAACTTGATCAACAAATCGATTTACTCTGCCTTATAGAAACCTGCTCACAGCAGGATGATTATGTTAGCTTAAATGAATCAACACCCCCAAATCATAATAACTATCAGAATCCTCAAAGCATAGGCTGAGGACGTGGTGTGGCAGCAATTTTCCACACCAGGCTATTAATCAACCAAAGACCAAGACAGACATAACTCATTTGAAAGCCTGATGCTTAGTCTTGTCCACCCTAGCTAGAAAACACAAAAACCAGTCTTATTTGTTATTATCTATCGTCCACCTGGGACTTACACAGAGTTTCTGTCTGATTTCTCAGACTTTTTATCTGATTTAGTGTTCAGCTCAGAAAATAAATAATTATTGTGGAAAATTTTAACATTCATGTAGATGCTAAAAATGACAGTCTCAACACACACTGTCAACACAGATGGTCGCCCCTCCCTGAGCCTGGTTCTGCCGGAGGTTTCTTCCTGTTAAAAAGGGAGTTTTTCCTTCCTATTGTCACCTGTGCTCGCTCATAGGAGGTCATATGGGTTTTTCTCTGTATGTATTATTGTAGGGTCTACCTTACAGTAGACCCTTAAGCTGAGTTTCGTTGTGATTTGGTGCTTTATAAATAAAACTGAATTGAATTAAAAGAAAACAGGGCCAAAAATATTGGACAAACTCCTGTAAATGGTTCCCATGAAGCTAATATCGGTGTGTCGTGTGTTTTGATCATTTCAGTAGTTTTTGTGTTGCTTTTTGGTTAATTTTTTTTGTTTTGTTTTGCCGTTGTTTAGCGACCCTTTGAGGTCATTTTATATCCATTTTTTAGGCATTTAGTCCCATTTTATGACAGTTTTCCATCCCTCTCATTGTGGTCTTTTGATTGATTCTCAGAGAAGAAGATTTGGCCCAGAGGTTTAGTTATTCACTCATGACACTAAAATAAAACAACAACAAAAAACCTCTGCCTCTTTCTGACTCCACACTGCTTTTGTTAGAAAAACTCAGTTCTGTTTGTTGTTAGGCGTTGTTTCTTAGTGTTTCAGTATGCAGAGCATTTTAAAGTGCGTGGGTCTGGGAGGGGAGGCTGTGTAAATACAACAGTGATCAGTAGTGGGCATGGTTTTTTTGTGGGTGCTAGGATCTAGCAGAAAATGAAAAACAGCAACAACAAAAGAGTGATTAGGAGGTAAGACTGTCTACATTAGCCTACTTATTTAGCTTAAAGCATGGTTGTTATGGGAACACTGCAACTAAAAAAAATATTATTTCATCACTTGTGTTTACACATTAGTTTAGGGTTTATTCTTCTTCAGATGCCGGCTTCTATTCAAGAAAACTAATAATACAATATAAGAGGATAAAGTAATCTAAAACTCAACATTTTGCTGACTAATAACAACTTTAGATTAATTCAGTACATGTTGTTTTGGCAGTGAACATAAAAGGAGGAAACGTGACACGCTTCAGCAGAGATCCACCCAGTCGTTATCCACACCTGAGGGAAATCAAGCCGGTGCACCAATCAAATCCTCCCATTCTCCCTGCAAAGCTCTCAGACCACAAGGACAAACTGTCTCAACGTAAGTAACAAGTAATTTTTCAAAGTTTAAGGGCGGGTAGAAAAGAGTGAGGCAACACATGAATCATGCAAATTAGAATCAAGTGCAGCAGATATCTGAAACAATCTTTCAAAAGTTAATACAAGTGGCAAAAATGGTATGTTTGTCCATGTCCAGCCAATGTTTAAAAAGAAAATAGCCACAGGAAATTTCAAAATCTGACCATTGTTTTCATCTAAGAAACAGCTGCAGAATTTCATCCACTGGATAAATTACAGAGCATTAACTCTGACTAAAAGTGGGTCAAATTTCTTAATCGAAAAACTTCGTCAGTGTTCCGTCTAATGACGTTACGGTAATTCTAGTTGCACAGTTTTGTGGAATTCCATTTTAAGCCTTTGACATCACTGTGACGTATACAGCTAGGTTCAGACATTCACCAATGGCAATAGAGTTACTGTTTCAAAAACATTCATGTATTTGACACGTAAAGTTTCCTTTACCCTTGATTCAGCTGCCTTATGCCCGCACCGAGTTCATGGCAGCCTATCCCACACACTGGGTGAGATATCAGATATACCGTGGACGGCCGGCATATTTACCTCCACAGCTGCTATAGAAACACAATTTAACCTGAAAAGCAGGTCTTTGAACAAGTTCAGGATTAAAACCTTCTTGCTGCAAAGCAACGTTTGCACCACAGTCTCTACTCCTATCAACTCCAACCAGTTGCGACAGATAGCCGCCCCTCCCTGAGCCTTGTTCTGCTGGAGGTTTCTTCCTGTTAAAAAGGTTTTTTCCTTCCCACTGTCACCAAGTGCTTGCTCATATTGTGGGTCATGTGATTGTTGGGGTTTTCTCTCATTATTATAGGGTCTTTATCCTACAAGGCAACTTTTGCTGTGGTTTGGTGTTATATGAATAAAATGGAGATGAACTGAACCACAGTGCTGCGAGGCTTCTCGTTATATTGGCTAACTCGTACTCATACCCCAAGTTGGGCCACACGTCTAATCTTCTGTGAGAACGAATAAGTTGGATTTTTTTCCCCCATCATCACACTGCAACCTGCTATCACAAACACAGTTTTTAGACTCTGACACATTCATGCACACACATCAGGAGGGACTTAGGGTTGGGTGTCTTGCCCAAGGACACTTCAACATACAGACTGCAAGGAGCTGGGGATCAAACCTGACCCTCTAAATAGTTGCAAACCTGCTCTAAATTCTGCAGGGACGTGCAGAGAGGTTTAAAGGGGCGGGTGCTCAAAGTTAAAAAGGGGCACATTGAACCATGCTGAATAACAACAACACACATTCATCAAGAATCTAATATGGGAAGGGCAGGGCTGTGCTGATCTGAGACTGTAGACATTAAAAAGTCCACAGGAGAGATGGTAGCTGATTAAACAAGTGTCATGAGATAATAACAAAATGCAAAGATTGGTGACAGCGCTTGGAACCATAAGGCAACGAAAAACTGTGACATAAACTCGGCTCTGCCTGTGAATCACTCTTTGCTTCTCTTCTTCCTTCCTTCCCATCTTTTCATATATCACTCTCCACTTGCTGTCTATCTGAGAACAAGGCACAACTTGCTATTGTAATAAACTATAATCTAATTATCCACACCTAACAACTCTTGCACTTAATCTATAATAAAATGATGACAGAAAAATGTTATAGCTGCCTTTAGTAGCCTCATGCAGCTCCTACTGTTTCCTCCTCATGTCCTTACCAGCCATGTCTGCACAATGTTATATCATGAGTAATAATTTAAAAAAATCTATATACATAAAACACACACATGCACGCACAGTGACATTTTAGACCTTCTTCAGAATACTGTATATACTATGGGCATCCTTACATTATTATTTATTACTAGAGCTACAATAATAAAGCAATGAGGAGGGGGAAGTAATAAATATGAAATAATGTATTTATGATGATTCCATTTGTTTCACTATCCACTCTGTGCAGGGCAAAGCTTATTACATTTTTAAACTGTAGAGATACAATCTTTTGTCTTATTTAAAATATAAATCTAATATAATCTGCTTCTTAATTTATGTTCTTTAAAATACAGCGTGTGTTTTTTAATATATTATAATTATAATTATTATTATGTGGACATGCATATTAGATCGTTTTTTAGTGTAATATAATCCCTCCAGAAAGGCAGGAAATGCCCAGAAACTTACTTTAAAACTAAATATGTTCCCTAAAACGGTGACAGAGCTACAGACCCATGACAGCCTTACACAGGTAGCCAGCAGCTGTGACCAGCACTACTTGTGCAGTTAATAAAAGGACAGGTAATGTTTGTCACGCTGTTGCACACACAGCACGCTCGTTTGTTTCAGTTCGTCAGTTGCAACAAGACAGCTTACCAACGTGTACGTAATAAGCTAATACTCCTGTGTGCTACACACTACAGTGTACGCTGTACACCTACTTACTGGTTGTGTCGCATCAGTCTGTGTCTCTGAGTTAACTTGTGTTTCTCCTACAGCTCCGGACCGCAAAAAATGCGCGTGCTCTTTGTGAGCTCGTTCCCGGCTCGTAACCAGCGCGTTCTGCCGTCGAGGGCGATCATTGGTTAAATGTGATCATGTGACTGATGCAAGCCAGATCCTTTTATTTAGCAAAACTGTGATTAATAGTTAAATATTATTGTTGAGGGGCACAGACAGGACTCCGCACGCTAAAAAAAAAAAATAAATAAATAAAAAAAATTTAAAAGTTGCCTCAACAAAAGGGCACTTTGGGCACTCATCAGGAAAGGGGCGGGTGCTCAAGCCCCTCTAGCCCCCCCCCCTCTGCACGTCCCTGAAATTCTGGGGGGAAAAGGTAAAAATCATACGTGAACATGTCAAATTTTGGTATTTATCCTCCAAGATAACGGAAGGAGAAAACTATCAGGCTCAATTTGAATGATTTAAATGTGCTACCTGTTTCCAAGCAGAAGAACAAAACGTACCTCCACCATCTGAACATGTTAAGTGTAGCCTCCAGGAAGCAATTCTGGAATTCACAGAAGTTGTGCATGAATGAGAGTGCTTTCATCATTACCGTGAGTGGGTGGAGGCAGTGCTACAAAACGGCCTGCCCTCATTCTCACTCTCCCTTTTATTTCAGCAGCACGCTGCAATCTCAGAGTCCTCCTTTAAGTGCTTTTTTCTCCCCTGCTCTCGCTGCAGCTCTGCGTGGATTACAGCAGTCATGTTAAGAAACTCTGTTTTCTCCTGCTTTGTTTTCTACGGCGTGCTGCTGGTGTTAAAGATGTACGTAATAGCGGTCATAACGGGACAAATAAGACTGCGTAAAAAGGTGAGTGAGCTCCTTTATATGCAGCTTGAAGTTAAATGCTGTGTAAGTTTTTCTTCTTACTGTTTGTTCTCTGGTGGAAAGCTTTTTTTTTTTTTTTTTATTGTTTGTTTTTTCGTTTCTTCCCTGAAAGGCTTTTGCCAACCCCGAGGACGCGCTGAGACACGGAGGTTTACAGTATCACAGAGAAGATCCATATGTGGAAAGATGCCGGAGGTGAGCGTGCAGACGGGGTATTTTTTGTAAGACTAGACTGTTTGTGTTTAGGGGGATGGAGGGTCGCAGGAGGATGATTTAAAAAAAAAAAAAAAAAAAAAGAAAGGGGAAAAAAAGAGAGTTTTGGATTTAAAACAACAACAACAAATAAACTCCCTTGTATTTGCTGCTTATGGCAAGTATTAGTTATACTATGCATTCCCATTGCATAGCTTTTACTTTTTGATTTAAAAAGGAATTCAGTACACTGCATGAAAACTGGTTCACTCAGGTAGATTTCAAATGTGCACAGCATTGAAGTACTCGAGTAAAATACCCTTGCATCATAAAATGAAAATTTTTCTACAGAACATGAATGACGTGCCGCAAGTTTTCTCCCGCGCAGATATCTGTCGCAAACCCGATAAAGTGTAGATTTATTTCCAGCGGATTTGTTCTCTTTTCTTGTGGGCTACTCCTCCACTGATGTTTCAGTAGCTTGTAGCACTGTGTGCGACAGATTTGTTTAAACTTGTCAGAATATGATCTGAGACAGGGGAGAGCAGATGTTTTTCTTACTAGTAAAACTTTCCCCTCTGTCTGTCCTGAAATGTTTTTTTTCTTTTTTTTCTTTTTTTTTCTCCTGAGAGCTTGTGGTGGGAATCAACTCTGCACCAGGGGGAAACACATTTAAA